ATCACGCGTCTGACTTTGGTTGCATATGCAAATTAAATGGCGGAGTTCAGCTGTCAAACTCCAAAATATGCAAAAGAATGACAGACAAAAGAAGATAGGATATAACCCAGTAAGCATTAAAAATATGCAAAGGTGTTCTCTGCAAAAGGTGTTCAGCTCCTTTTCTTCGCAAAACATAAAGAGAATTCTATTTTGTGAGGGTTATAATCCCTAAGTACGGCCGAAGGAAGGCCGCCTACGCAGAAAGGTTTTCTCTGCAAAAGGTGTTCAGCTCCTTTTCTTCGCAAAACAGAAAGAGAATTCTACTTTGTGAGGGTTATAATCTCAAGTGCGGCCGAAGGCCGCCTACGCAGAAAGGAATTCTACGCAAAAATACATTTGTTAAAAAGAACATTTTTAACGGTTTCTGTTAGTTGGGTCATATTCCACTTCAGACTGCTCAGTTTGCCTATGAAAAGTCCGTTTTTCCCCCTTTTTCAAACGGTTTCCTAGGGGCCTGTGGGAGGAGCCCAAGGGGGGGTACGCCTTTTTAGAAAGTGGGGACTGTCCCCTTTCTAGTGGGTGGATTTGGGGTCAATTACGCTTCTATTGTCATAACTAATTGGAATAGCCATGCGTGAACTGGGATCGACTTCATTAATAAACTGCTTCTGCCGCAATGCTTTCCTCACTGCAGATGACAAAGCCAAATACTCAGCTTCAGTAGTTGATAAGGCCACGGTTGGTTGACTCTTGATGTTCCAGCTGATTGCTGCATCTGACAACTTGAAGACATAACCACTGCATGATCTTCGCTTATAAACGTCCGATGCGTAGTCCCCACCACAAAAACCTGAGATGCCTTCGTCGATATGTTTCAAATTTGCGGTCCCTTGTAAGTAGCGAAATATGACCGCTGTCCAGTGAACTGCATTGTAGTCAGTATTGAATCGACTCACATCATTGACTGCGAAAGCAATATCTGGTCGAATACCCTGCGCCAAGTATAGCAAACATCCAACTGCTTCTTGGTACGGAAAACTTTTAAGTTCGCTCCATGATGATCCTTTACTGGTACCCAAATCTTTCGAAAGCTTAACGTTCGGATCACTCGAAGTAGAAATTGGCTTACAGTCAGCCATACGAAAACGCTTAAGTACTTCACTTATGTAGCTTGACTGATCTTATTCAATATAGTCTTGGGTCTGATTTATTCTGATTCCCACACAGTTCGTAGCTGACCCAAAATCTTTAATTTTAAAACATGAACTTAGTGCTAACTTGAGTTTAGCTAGTACGATAGAAACATTCCAAAATAGGAGTATATCATCCACATATAACGCTAACATTAAGTTGAGATCTTTGTTGTAAAAAACACATGGGTCAAGCCTCGACTGAATCAATCCGAAGGACTTTAATGCTGTGATTAACTTACAGTTCCACAGCCTTTCAGCTTGTTTTAAGCCAAAAATTGCGCGATTCAGCTTGCCTACCTTATTAGTTCTATCGCTACAGCCTCCAGGCTGCTCGATGAAAATTTCTTCCTCCAAATCGCCTTGAAGAAATGTTGAGACCGCGTCCATCTGGTCGATTCTCATTCCCTTTTTGGCAGCTAATGCAATTAATTGTTGTATAACGCACAACTGTAGTGTAAATGAGTAAATGAGTGTGAACGGACGTGTTCTTTAAGCGTTGTTAATAGATCGGATTTTTTTACAAAGAAACTATCAAAAAAAATCTGAAATTCATCAAAATAAATTAATTTTTCACTGATATCCTCACTGTCCATGGAATTCCAAACGAATCATGGATTTAAGTTGTGGAAGATGTAATAACTCTAGTCGGGATAAAGAATTACGTTGTGGCGGGTTTTGTGAAAAATTGTTTCATATGAAATGCGCTGGATTATCCAAATGTGAATGTGATGCAATTTTTAAACACTCGAACATTAAATACATATGTGATGGATGCATAAATTACATCAAATTAACAAATGAAAATTATAAAAGCTTATTTGATCTCGTAAAAGAAAATGAAACCGAAATGGCTGAAGAAATGAGTAAAACAAGTAAAATGATGGAGCAACAAGTGAAGGAGGCAAAAACAGAGATTGTAAATGAAATAAAAAAAAAACACAAACAAGTGCGGGAAGCGCAACATATGCGAGCAAACTGAAATCTTGTAATAGTGTGCCCGTTATTTTAAAGCCAAAAAACAACCAAAACAGTGACATTACAGAGGAAGAAGTCAAAGAGAAAATTAAACCTTCGGCTCTTAACGTACAAGTGAAAGGAATAACAGAGGCATGATGGAGCAGTAGCTGAAAATGCTGTGAAAATGAAGGCGGTAGAAATGCTTTGACTGAAGAAATTAAAGACAAAATGGGTACTGACTACGAGATGCAAGCTCCAAGGATGAGAAATCCAAAAATATTGATCGTCGGAATGACTGAGGAATTAAATAAAGATCTTATTGTACAAGCAATCAGTAAGCAAAATGATGTTGAATGCGGCCATTTAGAATGTGTAAAAGTGTACAAGTCCCACAAAATTCCGCAGGTGTATAATGCAATAATAGAAACAGATGGTGATGGATATAACCAATTATTGAAAAGGAAAAAAATTAACATCGAATGGGATAGGTGTCCAGTCTATGAAAGTTGCAGCGTACTAAGATGCTTTAAATGTTGGGGATATAACCGTGCCTCTAAGGTCTGCAAAAACGATGATCAAATATGTGCAAAATATACACCCGTATGCTGTAATCCGAAAGTTCTTAGTAACGAATTCGTAGCTCCGATCCGAAAATTCGAAAATTGGTATGCTGTAATCCGATCGTAACTATCAACGGCGTTGCCAACTAAAATAATAAAATTCGAAGTTCTTAATCAGCTGCTTTGACACAAACAAATCAAAATAAATATAATCGCAAGTGAACAGTGAAATTTAAAAAATTGTTTAATCGTACGAGGGTCGTATGAAAACTACCCGGCCTTGAATAGAATAAAACGATTTTTTTAACGAAATTCAATTTATTTTTCAACATAATCTGCTTTTAGCTCGATACACTTAAGCAAACGTTTTTCCCATGTTTTGATCCCTTCCGAATAATAGGTTTTCTCCAACCCTTCAAAATAAGCATTTGTTGCTGCAATTACTTCATATTTGAGCTAAATTTTTTCTCGCCGAGCCATTTTTTAAGATTAGGAAAGAGGAAAAAGTCACAGGGGGGCCAAATCTGGAGAATACGGTGGATGAGGAAGCATTTGGTAGCCTAATTCATTGAATTTAGACATGGCTACGACACATGTACACACACGAGCATTGTCTTGATGAAAAAGAACTTTTTTTTCAACAAATGTGGACGTTTTTCCTTCAAAGCCTTGTCAATTCACCCAATATTTTGCAGTAGTATTCGCCATTAATTGTTTTTCCTTTTTGTAGGTAATCAATATGTATAACCCCACGCGCATCCCAAAATACTGTGGCCATAACCTTGTTTGCTGATAATATCGCCTTTGCCTTCTTTGGAGCTGGTTCACCGCGACGAGTCCACTGTTTTGACTCAAGAATGATAGAATACAAGATTGCGCCGATCAGAGAGGATTTTTGAGAATAACTTTTGTGTGACATCACACTGGTGCAATTGCGAGAGAGAAATGCCAAAACGTGAGCAAGAATGGAAGAAGAAGAAAAAATTTTGCAAGGAAAAACGTAAACAAGTTGCACCAGTGTGACGTCATGCAAACAACGATTCTGTCAAATTCGTTAAGAGAGGAATAGCGGTCCGAGGTCGGCGCAACCTTTGTATTCTCTCAATCGTGGTTTTGACTGTTCTTTGGTCTCTGGTGTGGAGTGATGAATCCAGGTTTCATCGACAGTTACAAATCGACGCCAAAACTCCTGGGGATTTGCGTTTAACATTGATAAACAATCATTTGAAATGGAAACACGTGTTTGTTTATGGTGTGTTGTGAGTAATCGCGGCACCCATCTCGCGGAAAGCTTTCTCATATCCAAATGATTTTGCAAAATGTTATTAACCCGTTCAATTGAAATGCCCACACTCTCACCAATCTCACGCACTTTCAATCTTCGATCACTCATTACCATATCACGGATTTTTTCAATCATTTCTGGTGTAGTGACCTCATATGGACGACCTGAACGTTCCTCATCAAAAATGCGTTTAAATTCAGCTACCCAATATTTTACAGTTGTTAATGACGGTCCAGAGTCTCCATAAACTTCGTTAAATTCCGATTTAATTTCGTCGTTTGTTTTCTTTTTCAAAAACAAATATTTTATCACTGCTCGATATTCAATTTTTTCCATGTTGACAAAAAGCACAAAAGTAACTCAATTCTAACACGTATAAAATTTGTTGTAAATGTCATATCGCTGAGAAATTTTGACACGTGTTATTTGAAGAGTTGTATTTTTTAGCAAAATATTTTTTTTAGTTGTAGCAGCGCCATCTCTATTCAAAATCGGGTAGTTTTCATACGACCCTCGTATTTGAAAAGGCTTTTCCTTAACTAAGTAAAATATAATGGATTCAGTAGCCGATGCACTTTTGTCTCAGGAGAAAGAACGTGCTGCAGCCAACTGTTGCATTAATATACAAAGGAGATTGCTACGAGACAGTTCTGATCCATTTAGCTTAAATGATAAATGTATGCTCCCTCTTTTTAAGGGCGTCCATTCAACTAAATATTGTGCTGCTTTAATTCTTGCAACGCCTTCCCAAAATTCCACCACATCCTCTTTAACTACTTTTACAAAGCCTCGGGCAATGTCCGGCCTTTCGCTCATGCATTCCACCAGTTTTTCGTATTGAGAGCGATTTTTTGTGATTGTCGACTTGATAATTTTGTAAACATTTAATAATAAATTTTTTTTTATTCACACTTCAACTTACATACATATTTTTGCGTTTCCACACTTTGTTTTATTGATATTTTAATACAATTTGTTTCGCTCCGACACGAGTTGCTATTCGTACTAAATTTCCGAAAAATACATAAAAATAACAGCTACGTCGGATTCAGGCATACCAACATTACGAATTTCGAAGATGGCCTACGAATTTCGAAACTACGATACGACAACACGGATTTCAGCATACCAATTTTACGATTCGTAGCAAAATCGAATCTACGACGGATAGCATACATAGTACAGCATAGGGGTGATAGTGAAACGGGTCATACGTATAAAGAGAGCAAAAATAACAATAATAAATGCATAAACTGTAAAAACGCCAAGGAGAGATTGAAATTGTCAGACATTGACACAAATCATGATTGCGGAGATTCAAACTGTCGAGTTTTACAAAGAAAGAATAAGTTGGAGGCTGAAAGAGTGGCTTATTTGCAGCCAAAGTTTCGTTAAGAAACTATAACATTATACGTTGTGATAGTATATCTAGACATACTGGAGGGGTTTGTTTCTATTTAAATGTTAAATGGCAATATAAAATAATAGACTGTCATTCGATTGAAAAAATTATGGTGGAATTAGGTGCGAAAGTGAAAAACAGTGCTTAGTTGGAGTTTATAGATCACCAAATAGACAAACATCTCCAGAGGAGCACTTTATAAATTTTTATGAATCAAAAATGGAAAATATCTCTGAAAATGCGAGCATATTAATAACGGGGGACTTCAACATTGATTGGCTAAAAGCCAATAATCATACAAAGAGACTGGAGGAAATTATTAGCGATAACTATTTAAAACAAATTGTAACTCTCATTTTTGTTGTTGGTATTTCCGACAGGGTAGGAGTGTGATGTAATGTGGAACGGGATGACGGAAAGTTGTAACTCAGCCAACGAGAATTACAAATAATACTTCAACTTTAATTGATTATGCAGTGACAAATATTGAAAGCATGGTAGCCAAAACAAATTATAAAATGAAAATTAGTAATCACGAATCAATAGAATTATTAATCCCATTAAAAGTAAATAAAAAATCCATAAATCGAAAATACAAAAAAAAAAAACATTACACTTTAACAATGCAAAATTCCGAAACAATTTTCTACGTAGTGGCATACTTGAAATTCAAACAACTGATTCTACCAGTAACTTTGCTAACATACTAGTAAATAGTATAAACAACTCATTAAACCTCATGATAGTTAGTAAAAATATACAAATTGCAAATAATACAAAACAGTGGTTCAACAACAACTTGAAAGAAATGAAAAAAATTAAAATACATCTCTACAATTTAGCCGTTTGGTTCGACAACGATTACCATTGGGAAAATTACAAAATACTAAGAAATGAATACACATAGAACTTGAGAAAGCTAAGGGAAGCTACATAAATAACAGAGTAAACAAATGCACAAATCAAAAGGATATGTGGAGAACAATAAAAGAATTAG